CCCCCCCCCCCCCCCCAACACACAAGCCACACCCACACACAGTGACACAGAAACACACGTACGACAGAAGAGGCTTGAGTTGGACACTAGAGACTACACTGCAGCATGGACGTCAAGTGGACTGGATGGATGGATGATGGTTGTGGCAAACTGAAAAAGTGGCTTTCTCTCTCCCTCTCCCAATGAGCACGGGGCGGACACACAGATGCAGAAACACACATGGCACGTCATTCTCTACAAGATGGGATGGCGGTCTGTCTATCTGTCAGTCTATGGCTTGAAAATCTGAATCACTACACACACAGATACGATTGGCAACCAAACCAAACCAAAGAGCCTTCCCCTCCCCTCCCCCGCCCTCTCTCTCATGTGCGACCGGTGGTTCATTCAAGAAACAGACAGACAGACAGACAGGTGGACCAAAGAGGCACAGAAGGCCGACAGGCTTGGGCAATGGACTGGTGTGGGCCTGGTCTGTATAGACTTATCCATCAAGCACTCTCTCATCTCACAGCACGAAAAATCTGACATCACTGCATCCATGGCCTCTCGCTCTCTCCCTCTCTCTCTCACTGTGTGTGTGTGTCTCTCTGCGTGTGTGACCGATCCTTCGTAGAGCAAACACGCAGGCAGGAAGGCCTAAGTACACACACACATCCCTCCATCCATCCATCCATCCTGTCTCTCTCATCTGCACACTCTGACCATCGGCCTACGAAAACCCACATCGATCTGATCTACCCACCACGCACACCACACCACCCACCCACTGTGTCATTCATTCATCGCTATCTGAGACGTCACATACACAGCACGTGCCCATCCACCAGTCGCAGGCAGACCAGGCAGGCCGCTGCGGTGGGGCGGTGGATCAGTCGGACAGCAAACTTCGCCTCAGTAGCTCTCTCTCTTCCCCTCGCACACTCTCATCTCATACGCTCAGCATGAGACTAGCGCACACACGTGCACACCCTCAGCAGCCGTCAGCCAGCCTCCCAACCATCCATCCCTCTGCATCTGTACATCACACCCATCCATCCATCCATCCATCCATCGAGAGCCAACAAAACGGTCGCAGCACGCCACAACACGCCTCGCACACGGACAGACAGACGGATAGACGGACGGAGGCACGACAAAAAGTACATTGATAGCACGCACACAGGCAATGCAGGCACATCACCACAACATCACCATGATGGGGTTTAAATAGCACAACACCGCGACCACACCACACGCACGCACACACGCACACACACACGCACACACAGGCAGGCAGGCAGGCAGGCAGGAGTGCACCACGGCAAGGCAGTGAGACACGAGTAAGCGAAGCGATCTTGATAGATAGTAGTGAGGGAGAAAGTGACCAATACACACACACACACACACACACGACACTCATTCATTCAAGCATGCAGGCAATGCAGTGAGGCAGAGAGGCCGAGAGGAGAGTGTGTATACTGACTATAGAGTTCTATATAGTTTACAGACATTCGTTATGTACACATCACTACACACATCCACACACACACACACATATACGAGTGAGTAACACCCATCCACCCCCCCACCCAATGGACACACACACACATGCATTCACGGCACACATGAGGGAGTAATTACGGTCTGTCTGTCTGTCTGTCTGCCGATCCACACGCTCACACACACCCACACCCACACCCACCCCACCTACACACACAGAGGAGCCAACAACAAGACAAGGGATGGCTACTGTACACAAACAAGGGACGGTCACCATAGACCGCCACACACCACACCACACCACACCACACGACACCACACGGATTCAGCACCGGATAAATAGATACAACACACACACAAGAGACGCACACGGCATGCAGGCAGATAGAAACAGATAAACGCAGCCAGCCAGTCCCTCATCGTCCATCATGTCTGTCTGTATCCTCGCATGTATTAGTAGTGCTATACACACAATCACCCACAGATGCACTCACACATACCCTCACATCACATCAACACACACACACACACCGAGCACCCAAACACATCACATGCTCCCGTCCGTCTGCCTGTACACCAACCCAATCGACAGCCAACCAACGACACGCCACGCCACGCTCCCATGGGAAAAAGTCCGCAAGTGGCCGGAACGAACGAACAAACCAACCGACGAACACACAAAAAGACAGACAGGCATTCAACCATGCAGTTGCAGCGCAAACAGCAGCCACCAGATCCCTCGCTCTCTCTTCAACGCATGGACGCACCCCCGCGGCACACACACTGGAGGGAGGGAGGGACACCGTAGCGATGTGGATGCGCGTGAGACAGACAGTCAGCCATAAGAAATCACAGACCCCCCCCCCCCACCCGTCCGCCCATCCACCCTGCTGTCCGATGGATGGATGGATGGCTGGCTGGATGGATGGAGGGGCATGTTGAAAAAACTATCGGTCAGTACTGACTGACCGCACACTGGTGGGAGGAAGGAAAAGGCAGGCACAGGTGCAAAGCACGGCAGACATCAGAGTGAGTGAGTGAGTGAGTGAGTAAGTGGCGATCGACCGACCAAGACGGAGGGGAGGGAGGGGAGGGAGGCATGGAAAACCAGCGTGTGAACTGAACCAGCGTGGGCGCGAGTCCATGGAAAAGAAAAGAGAAAAGAAAAATGGCGGCGGCGGAAGAGCAGGCAGGCAAGACGCTGCCAGAGACCAATGCAGCCCCACCCCCACCCCGATCCCGACCAAGCCCCTCTGTCGTCACACACCACACCACACACATGCATGTCACCGACCGTCCACTCATCCAGCCACACAGCGCGGTGCGCTCGTCCGTCTGTCTGTCTCTAGGCTTGGCTTGCTTCTCTCTCTGCCTCTTCTACCTATCTGTCTCGTCTGTCTGCGTCTCGTCAGTCAATTAGGCCAGCCAGCCAGCCAGCCAGCCAGCGGGTATCTATCGTAGGCAGCATCCATCCATCCATCCCTCAGTCATCGCTAGTCAGTCAGTCCTTCAATTGCTGGCAGACGGGCGGCAGGCTGGTATTGGGCTCTGCTCGCCCCTCCTGGACTTTAATTACACTCGGCACACCACCGATCGCATCAACCAACCAACCAACCAACTGACCACTCGAGCGAAGCACCATGGCACAAACACATCACTCACGAGAAAGACGGACAGAGAGAGAGGGGGGCAGGCCCACCCCACCCCGCCCCCGCTTGATTGATTGATGCCCCCAGCCCAGCCAGCAGCCAGCCGAGATACAGATAATATAGACATAACAAAAGCAACAGCGATAAGTCAGTCAGTGAGTGAGTGAGTGAGTGGACGGCAAGACACCCGCCCTTAGAAGGATAGAAGAAAGGCAGGCGCCCCTCACCCCCCAGCCCCCACCACATCCACATACACACACACGTCTCTCTCTCGTCCCTACCACCCCGCTCTACACCATCTCTCGTCAGCTGTCAGTCTGTCCGTCTGTCATCTGAGTGACAAAGCTCTGCACGTGAGACCCACCGGCCCGCCACTACTGCTGGCTCATCAGCGCTGTGTGGTCTGTCTATCTCTCTGTCTCTCTGCCTGTCTGATTGGGTCAATCAGTCCTCGTAGACGGCAGATGGGGCGGTCAGGAGGGTTTGCAATTCTGAGAACAGGCACAAGTACGACAGACAGAAGACCCATGGGTGGGTGGGCCCTGACGGCTTGTCTGTCTGTCTGTCTGTCTTCATTTCTCACCTTCGGCGGAGAATTGCCGCGATGTGCATGAGAGGAGATGCTGAACAATACCACAAATGCCGACATGATATCCACCCCACCCTCCTCTCGCCCCTTTGTGGCTGTCTGTCTGTCTGTCTGTCTGTCAGGTCTGCTCACGTGGAAGTTGGGGAGTGGCGTTGTCGTCGACGAGGCCGAGAGTGCAGGGGTGGTGGGCCCGACGCCAGGCGTGTAAAAACCACCCATCCCCGACCCACCCCCACTGCCCACAGGCGTGTCGCCGCTCGGCATGCTCGTACTCGACGAGTGAGACGGACGAGAGTGGGAGTGAGGCGGATAGCCAGACACCACCTTGCCGCCCACCGACCCGACAGACGCCGAATGCGGGATGTCCAGTGGGGGAGGCCGCACCGTGCTCAGCGAGCTGCCCGTCACCGACCGCGCCACCGTCTCGAGAGGGAAGGACGCCTGACGCGTCACCACAGGACCAGACGACGACCTCTCGGGTGCCGCCTTGGCCCCCACTCCCACAACGACGTCGGCCTTGTCTGTCGGTCCGCCCCCCAGGATGCCCTCGCCGCCATAAGGGCCAAGCAGGCTGCTGAGCGGCAGGGGCAGGGGCATGGTGAGCGGTTTCTTCTTCTTGCTGGACGGCCGGTGTGTGGCGAGTGACGTCAGGTCGTGGGTGGGGAGGGGGACGGAGCACATCGGGGGGAGGGGGGGCTTGAACGAGTGGGGCGTGGCGGGGGCCGCCTGGGGCGTGGCGACCGGCGGGCTGGCCGACATCTCGTGATGCGCGTGCTCGGCCTGTCGGCTGATGAAGACGAGCGAGGGCGTGGGAGTGGGGGGCAGTGGGGTGGCCGTCACCTCCGTGATGGACCTCTCCACGTCGAATTTCTTGATGTATGCGCCGGGCGGCACCCCCACGACCGAGTGGCCCTCGTGTGAGCTGCCGTCGGTGGAGTCGCCCTCGGCCACCCCCTCGAGCACGTGTCGTGGGAAGCCGCCGTGGAAGGCCCTATTCTCGGTGCTGTTGTCATTGTCGGATATGCTGCAGGTGGTGGATGCGACGGAGATGCCGGGGCCTGACGAGGGGGGTGTGGGTGAGATGCCGCCGGTGAGTGTGGTGACGGAGTGGGGTGAGCGGATGTCGTGGACCTCCATGCCCATGTTGTGGTCGTCGGTGTACTCGGAGTACTCGCCGTCGTCCATCCGCCGCCGGCCCTTCAGACCACCCTTCTTGCTCTTCGGATTGGACCTGCACACACAGACAGACAGACAGGGGAGGAATGGTGACTGGTGGGTGGGGTATTTTCTGTCTTGTCTGCTGGCTGGTCGTTTACGTCTTCTTGGGCAGCGGTCCTCTCAGCTCAGACAGCCCATGGGCGAAGCGGCAATAGACTGATGGACCAAACACACGAGAACAGTCGTTGCACCAGACCCTCTCTCTCTCCTCCCATCCCCTGTGTTTGCCATTCACGTTCGTACCTCCGTTGAGGCATCGTCCCTTCTTGTAGAAGTTGCAGAGGCTGACCTTGTGGAAGGTGATATGAGAGGTCCGTAGCTCCTCCCGCGTGTGCGCGAAGGTGCAGTTGTCGGACTTGCAGGGCTCGCCCTTGAGGACCGACTCACAGAGCTTGGTGCAGCGCAGGTCGGGCAGCTCCCGCAGCTCGGAGTCGCTGTGCGCGTAGCGGCACTTGCGGCCGTTGAAGCACCGACCCTTCTCGAACAGGGGACACATCTTGGTCTTGTAAAATTGCGCCTGCACCGGAGCTGTCCATGTCATGGTGATGGTGATGGTGAATGGTCGTCAGTCAGAGGGGCGGGGTGAGGGGGGTGGGGGAGGCCAGGGGAGCGATGGTGGGTGGGATGGGCTGCCAAACAGACAGACACACGAGCGATACACCTGAACAAAGGAAATGCCAGGAAACACAAGGACATACACAGTGAAGGCGCCCTCCTCACTCAGAGTGCCCCCTCCCTCCCTCCCTTCTTACCGACCTGACAACCCGCTTCAATCAGAGCGGTATGGAAGGGCGATGTCGAGGCTTAAAAGATACCCAGCTGAGCACCCTATCTGCAGTCCGTCTGTGTGTCAACGAGCCGCCCAAGCCACCACTCACGTCACGAGAGGTGTGGAAGTGCAGTGAGGGGCAGCAGACGCAAAGAGTTCGCCCAAAGAAGAAGAACCCCTCCTGCAGGCCGCAACGCGACTCACACCGGCAGGCAGCTCGCACACCGTCAGTCAGTCACAAGCACACATCAGTGACGTACGAACCGCCGACCACCCTTAATTAACTGACAGACAGGCAAGCGCCGCAGCTCGCCAGCCGGTTAGGGTATAGAGGGTGCTGATCTGGCTCCGCCGACGACCCGTCGCCTCCTCACGTCTGCCTTCAAGTCCCTTACTACCGACGGCACGCCATCAACCCAGCTCTGGACCGGCAGTTATACCCTGTACCCGTAAATTTAGGGTTTCTAACGGCCAGGGGCCGAGGCGCGTTTTGCTTTGCACGATGAACCTCGTTTGATCCGGCGTGCTTCGCCGATCACTATGAATCAATTTTGATTGCCAAACACCCACTCAAGCTCGCAAAAATGGCAAAGCAATCCTCGCCGTCGGACGTCTCCAACGGCGAAACTGCTGAGCACCGCTTGGTAGTTCTTGGTAAGTGTAGAGTGATCTCTGAAGGAACGACCTGCGATCGCTATACAGTGTTCTCTCAAGGGAAAAGGTCACGCAAATCTATGCAAAGCGTGCACACGTATCACCACATGTATCACGCCACTCATCACACTGACTGCCGTCTCTTGTTGGCCGCTGCCATAGGCTGCAATCCTCTCTGTCTGTCTGCCTGCCTGCAGCTGCGTCATCAGCCGCCTGCCCATCCATCCATCCATCCATGCTCAGTCACCCACGCCCCCTCTCTGCCCCTGTCTGCCGGCCCTCATGGTCGTCCAGTCGTCTCCTCCCCCTCGCCCTCCTCCTCTCGACGATGGTTCAGGGCTGTTGGATGCACGTGTGCTGCCCATCGAGTCAGAAATGCCCAGCTGCGCCACGCCGTCCGTTGCAGCTCTGATGAGTGAGTCGGTGAGGTCACCCAGACGCGCCACGGCTGCATCGACGTACTGGTCAACTCTGACACACACACACACACACACACCACGGACGGAGGGAGGGAGGGATAAGCACCCATAGGCCAGCAGTGCTTGCCTACTTACGAGAGGAGGGAAGATGCGATAGCGTTGAGTGATGAGGTCAGCGTCGGCTGGTTCTCAATGGCACGCTCGTTTCTGCACATCACAACACAACACAACACCCTTACACATATGGGCACGCTAGGAGAGGTCACTCACGCGCTGACGTAGTCTGGTAGCTTGAGCTGCTCCACGTCGAAGTGCTTCGACAAATCCTGATTGATTCGACCGACGATAGAGAGAGAGGAGCCGGATGGATGTGCGTCTGTCCCTCATGCCCACGGCCCTCTCCCACAGCTGCCCACCTGCACTGATTCGACGTATGTGGTCGCACTCCACAGGTGTTGGCTCATGACGGGGCGACACAGCGCGAAGATGGACCGAAACAACACGCCCGCGTGGAGCACCAGGAAGGCATCAAGGTTCGACTCGTATCTGCAACGGCCAGCCAGACACAAAGTGGGTGCGTTGGGGGTCATTTCAGGTATGGTTCTGTACTTGTTGTTGAACAGCGTGAGCAGCTGCTTGAGTATGAAGATGGACGGGTGGTGGGACGAACTCACGGCAGACTGAACCCATAGCAACACATACCCTGATAGACAAACACAAAGACAGACAGACAGACCAGCAAGGAAACAAATAGTGATAGGGAGGCTCGTCTATCTGCCGGCCGGCCGCCCGTACCGAGTGAGTGAGTGCATCAATCAATCAGCGTGCTAGCTTACGGTCTCTGATGTACGGGTCGAGTCTTGAGACGATGTATGACACACAGGTGGACGTGTCGAGCTGCCCATCGAACAGCGCCCCACACACCACGATCGTGTTGCGCTTCAACCGGTCTTGACCTGATGACGTCACACACCATTGCGTGTTTCCATCCACACACACAGCACGTGTCCATGCCGTTCATCCCCTCACCAGCATAGTAGACGAATCGTCGCGCGTCGAGCTGCTTGAGGTTGGGCATCCGCTGGGCCGCCTTGAGGTACGACATGTACATGGCATCGGTGTCCGAACCCCC